TGCTGATATTTATCACTACTGTAGTTGTCAGAGTCAGCAACCTTCTGAAGAGAGCAAGAGGGTCCCACGTCCTGGGGAAGTGCCAAGGCACAGCCTGAGCTGAAAAATGGATTCCTAATACAATTCAGCTTCCTAAAGCAGCACAAATCTAGGAGAACAAAAATGAACTAATAGTGTTAACTGGCAGGTTAATTGCTGGGAGACAATGGAGAAGAAAGAGGACCTCCCACTTTTGGTAGTGGTAAAGTGCTAAATAGTCTTATGTGTGATGGGAAGCTGCACCCTCAGAGCTGCCTCTTAGACCAGGTGCTGTCTATACTTACAAGTCTTCAGGATTTTCTTCAAATTCCATGGCTACCAAATTGCAGAACACACGTTGCCTCAGTCATACATACACTTTTCTAACTCGCTGCATCCTTACATCTGAATCCTCTTATTCCATACAGAATTAGGGAAGGACTCAAAAATTTGCTAGTAGAATGAACCAGCCTGTGCATCACAGCAGAATGTAGTCAGAGAAGGTGTTTAGTAGGTCACTTGTGCATATATGCTGCTATCACAGCAAAAGCAGGCCAGGCATGCTGCGCCAGCTGTGGCTTAATAGCTTACGGTCTGTAGAAGGTTCACTGAGCTGATATTGAAGTTTCATGCACATTCACTTTTTTAGCCTGTGTTGAGTGCTCATGCTCTGTCTGACAATTCCTGAAGCAGAAAATGCTCTGAGAAATGTTCTTCCTCAGGGCAGACAATATTTAACTTAATTTTTTATTATGTAACCAGAAACCCTATGTCTCAGTTTCTGTTTTATAATCATATCCTTGTCTGAGACCTAAATTTATCTATGTTCCACACCAGCCTCACTCACTGTTATTCACTGTATTTCATTCCCTAATGTTATGTGAAATTATTTCTGCTAGGAATGCTGAATTGTGCAACGGATGTTAAAGACAACGTCGCTTGTACTAGAGAAATGAATCCCAGGTCACCTGAAAGTTTTCCGCACTGTTGTGTCCTGTATCTTGTAAGCAATATGAAAGTCATGCTGGAAATTTAGAAGTATTTTATCTGGCTAGCTTTCTTAATTGGACAAACACAACAGCATTTATAGGTGGTGACAGCAATGAGTACCTCAGCTTGAGTTATTACTTCGTAATTACTGGCATTGTCTTTTATTCAATATAAGTGAGTGATAAACGCTGTGCCTATTCTTAGCAGAGAGACAGCCTCACTTTGTGATCCTGATACCAGATCCATGTGGGTAGATCTTTATCTTGTCCAGAACTTCAATAAAGCTGGTAGAGATCTGCAGGGGCCAATCTGATTGCAGGCTGGATGCCTGGAAGATAGCTGGGCAGAGATGAACAGACTGCAACACCTCACCAGTAATTTTGTAATATGTTTGAGCAAATGCAAGTGTCTGGATTTTGTGCTAGACTGAAGCTCCCATCTCAGCTAGCATTCCTCAGTGCTCAGGTTTGGTGAGCCAGAGACCCACCAGCCCACCTCATCCCAGTTCCATGGTAAAAAGTCAAATCCTTCTGTACCAGTCTCACTTTAGTCTTTTGTTCTGAAACATCCCAGGAGATCCCTGCCAAACATCCAGCTTATGGTGGAAATACCAACGTGCAGCAAAACACACCCCTAAAGCAAGAATTTCTCAAGTGTTTCTTAAGAGACGTGACTGAACCAACAAACAAGCCCAGTCATCTCCCAGCTCTAGGTGACAGTTTCTTCTCATTATTTGTTTTCAGTCCATTAGAGTTCTTATCCACCAATTGCTCTCTTTAATATTTTTCATTAACAAAACTAAATTTTGGCTAATACTGGATTTTTTCAATCCAAGTAAACCAGCTTAAAATAAGCCAAGGCTCTGGCAAACACATTCAGGTCAGCCCTTCACTAGATAAATTGTGTAACTTTAGTAAGGCTAGTCTCAAAGACTGGATCACAGTGCACAATATATTAAAAAATATTGGGAGAATTCCAGCATCCAGTATTAAGTGTGTAGTTGTAATTCCTGCAGGATAAAGAATGATAAAGAAACAAAATGCTTTAATCCTCCACCAATTTGTCTAACATTTAATCCAGCTACTAACCATATGATATATCCTTTCTCGAGCAGTCTTAATTGTTCTTAATTCTACTGATTAGGACTATAAAACTAAGGGAGAAACTGGAAATCATCAGCAATTAAATTCATATTTCTTTGTAAAGCTACAGCTCATATGTGACATTTGTATTCAGAGCGACACAGGAATCCTCAGTGTGGATCTCTGCTTTCAGAATATTTCACGTTTGCACAGCAGGTCAGAGCACAGTCATCACACTAACACTGTGCAGTCCTGTAGCACCTTTCATCTGATATCTCAAATCATGAAACAAAGATGATTTAATATTAACGAAGCCTTTAACAATCTGGAAGCAGAATTCCCTTATGAGGCTTAATAAGGCAGTAACCATCTTTTCTCTCCCGTGCTTCCCCCTCCTGTAAACATCCTCTCCATCTTCCCACGTCCAGCTCCATCCAGCTGTTCTTCAGTTAGTCCCCTGTGTCAGCTAAGCCCCCGGGACTCAGGTAGAAGGTTGTGTCTGCATCTAATAGGAAAGCGGTGCACAGCTGACTGTGGTCTGTGTCTTGCTTTGGCTACAGATTTGACATTTGAACCGTAGAATCATCAGCTTTATGGACAATTTTCCAAGATAACCTGATGCTTTGCACGGTTGTTACCAGGGCGAAAGCTTTGTTGATGGCAGCACTCAGACATACAGCACTGCTTACAATGGTGCAGTGAGTGTTCATCACTAGCCACATCACTACACAGTGTCTTAAGCTAAGTCATTCCTATTAAATGAAACTGTGTACAAAGGGGCTGCACTAATTTAACTAAACCTTGCTAACATGATAATTTTCTTATATGGAAAGATGGACTAGATGAGCTTTAAAGGTCTTTCCAACCCAAACCATTCTATGATTCTATGATTTTATATGGCCGAAGCTGCTGTCCTCTGCTATCACATCCCCGTAGCACACAGCCATCATCATACCTGGGGCTCTCAGGCAGGCCTGGTAAAATGGAAGGAGGTATTGCAGTGTACAGCACAGCTAGTGTTCCCTGTTATCCCACAGGAGTGCCAGGTAGCAGAGGGTTAGGTAAACTAAATATCTTGCCTGTGCTGAGGCAAGGAAAGGCCAGAACAGTCAAAGAAGAGTAACTGAAGTGCTGCACATCGACCTCGTATCTTGCCTGATAGTGACTTGTCTGTGTAACACTGGTTTGCCCTAAAGCAACAGCCTTACCAAAATGATGAATGGTGCCTTTATGTGGCTTGTCTGTTCTCACACAGCAGACCAACAAAACCCTCTCATTTTCAATCTTCTGTTTCATTCATTAGATTTTACTACTACCCTTTAATTAAAATTCTTCTCCCTCTGCTTTACCCTGAAAAGGATAATTAATTGTCTCTTCATAGTAATGGCTCTCAGTGCCTGATGCTACTGAAACAGATTTTACCTCATAATTTTAAGTGCGACCATAATGTCGCATTATGATTGCTTAAAATAACAATAAAATTGTTCTTTCTAAGACAGTGCTGTACAGCATGCTCTTGCTGCGACTGTGTTAGCAGCAGGCATATGCTGCTGCTGCAAAGAGGAAAGCAGGTCTGGAAAATGTCTCAGTTCAGTATGCATTTAACTGTTCATATATATAGCAATTCTCTTTGGAATGAGAATGGGCTTTTCACATATACTTAGGTGTTGTCCTCTCTTGGAGACTGAGCTGGACTTTGAATAAAAAGTCTTTTGGTTAGAAAATTCAGGAGTTTCTCCTTGCATGAATTTCTATATATGAACACATGGGTCATAGGCTTCCACTGTCTTCTGCTTCTGAATTCAGAAGCTTTGTGCTCAAAATAAGTCAGTTCTGAAAATGATCCTGTTAGAATCATCATCACACAAATCTTGATTCCCAAATGCTACATGGAAATATATGACTTTTTAGCTTTTTTACCCAACTATGCTATGATTCCTTTTTGAAGCCTGTAGAGGGTGTACTCTCCATTTCAAATTAAGATTGAATGTCTTTCTGCAAAGTAGTAATCAAGCTCAAACAGAAGTCATAAATTAGCTCCAGATATTACTGGGTGAAATGTTACAGACTGAGGTATGCAGAAAGTCAGAGAAGATGACAATAAGAGTCATTTTTGGAATTAAAAATCTGTCAGTCTCGCTGCAAATCTCACACTATATGGTCATTGCCTTCTTCCATAGCTCAGCCATGAGCAAAGAGGAAGCTGTTGGTCTCACTTCAGTCTCTTTGTTCTGAATCCTCAGAAATCTATTAAAATAAAATTTGTCAGAGGCTGTGCAGCTCTAATATTAATTCTTTTAATCAGGAATGAGGTCCTCTTTTTGAAAAGCAAACTGTTCTGGAACAAACCACTGTAAAGTCTGCATCGCTTGTCATTTTAGTGACGGACGTGTATCAAGAGGTTTATGAGTCATCTCACAGGAGTACTTGGAAGTCCCAAAGTAGATTACAGCACCCAGGGGTCTCAGGTATACATCCCTGAACACTGACTCCATCTTGAACAGCTCATTATCTAAGTAGGGAAGATAAAATATGGAATGAAGGAATAATCTTCTCCCCCATTAGCAGATGGGGAAGCGAATGACAGCAATCGTGTTCCCCCAGTTACAACATGGAGACTGTGGCAGAACCAGTAACTGAAACTAGAGCTCCTGGCTCTCAGTCCAGATATTTAGAAGCAAATCCCAAAAGTTTAATTCTGAGGAACTGTCTTTGTTGAGCCTGACCAAACTCTCTCAGTCAGGCACAGCTGTATGGCATGAATGGGAGAGAGTGGAAGTCTTCTGCACCCATCCAGCCCTTGCTCTCTAGGAGGGTAAATAACTTATTTATCATGGGAGACCCAATACACAGTAAACAGAAGCTGTTTTCAGTTCTATAGAAATTATTCTTCTATTTGTTCATTTTTAGGAACATGTTTCCAGCCAATCTTGTTGAGGCCACATTCAAGCAGGTAAGTGGCTATATTCCTTTTACCACTGATAAAGAGATGAGCCAGCATCACATAAAACATGTATTTTTGTAAAACAGAATCCAGATACAGACATTGTGTATTACTTCAGATACTGTTAGTACCTTCAGCATTTAGGAATTTATGAGTCCCTTTCCATTAGCCTCAGCAGCCTTGGTATCTGAAGGCAAAACAAATCAGCATAAAATGCATAGTGTGACTAGAGAGTAGACATGCACACCTATGTCAACTCCACCTCCACCTGAAGTCAGATATTTGAGGACCTTGAGAAAGGTGATGTAGGGAACGAGAACAATTTATGCCAGTATGCCTGGAGCATAGTTTCTTTTAACATGGGACTGCAGCCACGGAGTAGGTGGAATCTCTTCAAAAGCACACAGCAACACCATGCGAAGAAAGAATAGAATACCGTGTCCAATTAAAGCAACAAAATAATGTATTTGGGAAGAATCTAATTACTTAGATTGAAATCTGGCCAGAAAACCGCATCTAAAAGTTCTAAGTTCGCAAGAAGCATGCCTTAATTTATTTCACCTGGGGGAATATTTCATTGGAACCTTACCTCTGGTGAGGCAAAAAGAAGGATGCTCAGAACCTCTAGCGAGTCACTCCCAATTGGGCCTTACAGGAATGTAGCTCTATCAGGAGACGGTGTGTTTGCTGCACAAGGGTCTGATTATATATATTTGGGGGTTGGACTAGATGACCTTTAAAGGTCCCTTCCAACCCAAACTGTTCTATGATTCTATAGGAAATTCTGATTTTTGTTATGCTTTTCCAAAAATTCAACTGATATTACAGATTTTAGCAGCATAGGGACAGGAGCTGTCGTTCTTCTTTTCATGCTTATACCTTTAACATGCAGCCTTGCTGAAACAGAGCACTTAGGAGGTCTTATTAAACTATTAATTACTGCTGGTGTATTATAATAAAATCTATTTTGTTTTCTTTCAGTATCGCACGAGGAGTATTCCCATCATTAAATCTAACAAAGCATCATCTGAAAGCACCACTCGTCGCATTATAATATATGGAGTCCAGGATGAGAATGGATCCAATGTCCAGAATTTTGCCTTGGATATCACTCCTCCCCCTGAAGTGATTTACAAATCAGAACCAGGCGCTAGTGACGGCATGAATGTGCTAGGGATTGTGATATTCTCTGCCACAATGGGTAGGTTTCAGACATGTTTGGTTTGTAATAATCCAAGTATACATTTAAGAGAAAAATATAGGGGTGGAGTTGTTTGGTTTCTTGATTCATCTTTTGTAACTGCTTCTATCTAAACTTCATGTGAAAAAATGCAAGACTGTTACAGAAGTGTCTCCCAACCTCTCAAAGATAAGTCTTCAACATCCTTGATGAATTTTGTTCCATGCAGTTCTGTTTTCTGTGCATGCGGTTGCATTCTTTTTGTTTAAATTTTTTCTGGATTACTTTGAACCATTTTTTGCTCACTGTAAGAAACACTAATACAGTGTTCTCAGAGGAGGTAGGAATTAGTATATTAGGTCAGACCCATGGCCACTCTGCCAATATTCTGTTTCACTCTCTGGCCACTAGCAGAAGTCCCAGAGAAAGTTTCAAGAAATTCTGGAATAAACAAGTCTGTAGCAGACTTTCTTTCCAAAGGCCACTTCTAATGCCTGGAGCTCCAGGTGTTGTGTTACAGGAACAAAGAACTTCCCACACTGCTCTTGGTTCAGGGGTAACCAGGCTGAGACACCCCCAGCTCTCGTGGCCGGATGTTTCACCCCTGCAACTGGCAGTCCAAGAAAAACCTGCTCCCAGACCAACTCCTTGGCTAAAGTTCCCCCTACTAGACAGAAAATTACTTTAGCCCTGGAACCTGCCCTGTCTGTTGTTTTTACCCATTCTTAGTCACATTTTACCACGTTATTATTGTAGAATATAACTGTCGCTTATCTATGTAAGAACCTAGCTCAGATAATGAGCCTCCATGATATCTCAAATAAGTGAGCTATAAAGGTATATTGCTTCCTCAGTTTTAAATCTATGAATCTTCTCTTTGATTGAAACTTTTTGATTGTATTTTTGCCATCATGCAATGCTGATACTTATATACCATCTAGTAGCATATCACAGTGGACTCTAAGAGCTTCTGTCTGGCTAATCTATTCATTTTTGCTTGCTGGAGGAAGGAACTCATTGGTGCCATGTGTGTTATATTCTGTTTGTGGATTTGGAAGAGGGAATTTAAACAAACGTGCCCTAGTTAATCATGAAGTTCCAATGACTTTTACAAGAAAATGCTGATCAAATTTTCCTTATCTAAATTTATTATTGGAAGTTGATCTGTTCAGCAGAGGTAGTTCCATAAAACATCTTTTACTGTATTTATTATATTATGGTTCATACCAGCACAAGGGGTCAAAAATCAAGTCTGGAATCAGCAGATTTGTCTTTCTCTTGCAGTTTCTCCAGTGGGTGGTATTTCATATGCAACACTGCTGGAAACTGGCTGTCCCCCAGTTTGTAGTATTTTATAGTCAATTCCCAAAATACAATGGCACAGCAAACACTATTCCAGTCAAAAAGTATTGGATATGAATGAATGAATGATTACATGTGATTTATTAGGATCAAGGGCAATTTTATACTTCTGATCACAGAAGATCATTCATTGTCTTCCCCAAACTGAATGTATTACTTTTACCGTGCCCCTGTGTCTGGCTGGCCTGGGGTTCAAGAGATGGACGCTGAGAGCTGGTTTCTTCCTGGCTGACATACAGAAAATGTACTGCCTGTACTGCCCCGTACACCGCAGTCCCAGCTGCTGGGTCACCTGTGACTGTATCAGCCATGTACAAACCTAAGACACTAAACCCTCAAAACCTGTCATCTACCAGTGACTATTTCAGACTGTTATTTCAAACAAAGGATGCAGCCAAGCATTTATCGCTGTCTTCAGCTTTCTGCGCCCCCACCAAAATGGAAGCAATGAAACAGAAGACATGTGGCTTCAATCTCTATGAAAGAAAAGCATCCTTCCAAAGGTTGTATTTATTGCAAAAAAAAAAAATGTATACAAGCCTTGGTGCTTTGTAACAGTTTCGCTCACTTTGGCTGAGTCTTATTTGCACAAAGGTCCTTTTACACCACTTTGGCATAGAAAACCAGCATTAGGGTCGGTATGAGTTCTTATTACAGCTTCTTTAAGGTCCTTGAACAGCATAAGAACAGCATAAAGGGACAAGAATTTAGACTTGAGCTAACTTGCTCTTCCTGAAGCAGGAGGTGAATTACTTAGTAATCTCAGTCCAGGAATAAATCCTGTGTATGAATGACTGGACTTCTTTACCAGGCATGCATTAAAATGGGCAACATTTGATAGGCAGAGTGTGAGGTTAAGATACATGAAAAATCTTGGTGCTGGGATCAGCTGTGACTAGCTATACTACCTCTTCTCACACAGTGTGCGGGAATTTCTGTTTGAGATTATGATAGTGGTTAACTGTTGAGACATCTGATTTTTTTTCCTTGGAGGAGCACACATTATTTATTCATTACAAGGAAACTGTTTGCACTGAAATGGAATATCAGGGTATATCAGGGCTGCAGACATAAGGCCCCAGTCCTGCCTGCTCCTGTCTGTCCCCACCAACAGCCACATGCTTAGGTAAGACAGTGTTTTCAAGAGCAAATTTCAGTTATTCCTGTAGAATCATTTCTTCTTTTTGGCATGATACAGAATTAGAAGCCAAGACTCTTGTAAAACTACCACTGACCAGGCTAGAAGAGCTGAACTATATTTAATGTCCTATTACCAAAGTTGAGCAACATGCTTAATAAAAGTGTTGTTTTCTGACCTAAAAGTTATAGCTCAGATGAATATTAAGAGGCTTAGAAACCCACATCTTGAATGCACTGTTATTGTGAAATCCCTGGATAAAACAGCTGAGAGCCTCCCTCCCTGCCTCAGGAGGGGATTGCCCTGGAAGTGGTGCTGCTAAGACCTGCCTCGCAAGCGCAGATGTGGGCTACGAGGGACAGAGCCTGGGCTCCTGCTCAAAGCAAGGACACTGCATATCCAGAGCAAGTGGCAGCACGCACCCCACTCCTAGCCCCATGTTTCTTCATTAACCTCCCTTCAAAGGCAGTGTCACTTGATGCAGCTAGCTTTTGAAGTACTTCCTTGAGCAATTAACTCGATCACTTATAATCCTTTCAGGGAATGATGGCAGAAAATTAATAAAATAAGAAAATTATGTCTATTTATATGCATTATTGGAAACTAACACTGGAGAATATATGGTTAGATGACACATCCCAGAGCTGTATTCTTTTCCTTTCTGAGCGCTGGATGCTCAGAATGGGTTTCCTTTGCTTTCTTCTTTGCTGATTAGTCTATACAGACTAATTTAGCTTTTCTTCACATGAATTTGCATTTCCTTATCTCCCCCCAGTTTGCAAAGCCTGACTGATTTTGAGGGTTTGTTGTTATTGTGTAGACAGATAACTACTAAAAATAAGATGGAGATCCCCCTACTAACTCCTCATTACCAGAATAAACCTCAAATACCATTTTTGCCCCGGTAGTGTCCCATGGATGCTGCCCAGCTGTATGCAGTGCACAGCAGTAAGGCAGACTGCAGGCAGGGACAGTTTCCTCCACTAAAAAAATGTTTTTCAGTTTGTCTTCCATGTATCCCACAGAGCAGGTAAATCCTTCTCAGGGCTCTATGAAAGATGGTTAATGAAACAGGCGTGTTACCAAGGAGGCTAAATCTGCAGTACAAAAGTACCCCCACAGGGAAACTTCAGGGAACTGCAAATTAAAAACCACCAGCTAGGGGAGAGCACCCTGTACGGAGCCAAAGCACAAGGCTGTGGCCTGGCTCCCCGATGCGCTCCTGTTTGTGTGAGGCTTTCAGATACCATGTCTCTTTATACAGCACAAAGATCTATATTCATCCAATCATCTCCCACTTAGTTTACTTGTAATTACAGCACAGAGGGAAAGCACTGGGGCTTTGCATGAAGGCACCTGAGAAATTAAACCTAAATGTCTTTGTTTGCAGGTATAATGTTGGGAAGAATGGGGAACAGTGGCGTTCCTTTGGTCAGCTTTTGCCAGTGTTTAAATGAATCTGTCATGAAGATAGTGGCAGTTGCTGTTTGGTAAGTAACTGTTTTATTAAGAAAATAAATATTTTTTTAAAGGAGTAGGAAAATTTCAACAGAAGAGGATGCACAGAAATCTCATAAACTTATTTCCAGGGATATAAATGAGGGTGAACAATCCTTAGCTTTGCAGCACCTCAGTATTTGAAGGAAGATACATCCTGTCCCTGGCTTGTACTGTTATTTTGGCAGAGGCAGCCTATATATTACTCTCAAGTAACAAAATACGGTATGGCTGGGCGGGTGGGTGCTGTATGCACTAGGGGCACTGCCAATCCTTGAGCATGCCAAAAGGGATTGTAATACATCCAGCCTACACAAGGAAGAAACACGATGAGATGTTCAAGCTGGTACTTTCATCCCTTACAGCATTGCTGCACTTGAAATACTAGTCTGGCTCCATTCAAAACTCGCCTGGATGCGTTCCTGCGTGATCTACTCTAGGTGGTCCTGCTCTGGCAGGGGGGTTGGACTGGATGATCTTTCGAGGTCCCTTCCAACCCCTAACATTGTGATTCTGTGATTCAGCTTGCTCAGGAGAGGGCTGGGCTCTTGTGCTGACATGACCGTACTGTCATTAGCGGGGTTGCTGCTACCTTGGCTGTCTCTGCACTGAACAGCACAGTGGAGATAATATACCCAGACCACCTGGCACTTGGGATGTCTCCGGTCAGCAGAATAGCCCTCAACAGCTATGTAACTTAGGAAAAGCCTTCAGAGCAATCCTAAATTACACTGAGAGACAGCTAGAGCTGGCAACCCACATGGCTCAAAGATCAAAGGAACAGTAGGTGACTGCCAACAACAAAAACTATCAGCTTAGCATCTTCTCCACACTTCAGAAGGTCCCCCAATGTGGCTTAGCCTGTGGGGGGAATCCCCACTGCCAGAACTCGGCCTTTGTTTCCATCTACCTGGTCCAATCTGACTGAGCTGGGTCAGGGAATGATCACTTGGTTAGATGGATCCAAGCAGGTAGTAATTCCTGGAAGAACGAGGAGGAAGAGGCAAGTCTCTGAAGATGGCACAACTGCAAGCAGAAGATGGCTGGATGCCTGCAGGTTTTTTATTTTTTTTTAAATCTTAAACTCTTTCAGCACCCATGGCTTTGTGTCTAGCCATGAACAGAAGCATAACAGTTTTGATAAAGCACCTATCCCACATCCAGTCCAGAAGGGGTTCAGAAACTATTATTCTGCCTATCTATCTGCCCCAAATCAAACTCCCAGGCAGTCCAAGAGCATGTGTAATACATGTTGGTGTTTCTCCTGTGTCTTCCAAAGGCAACATAAATATTTACTTAACAGCTTCCAACTAAAATCCATGAACAGTTGCAGGAGCACAAACACACGAGCAGAGCTTAGGATTCATTCTCCCTCTCCCGGTAAATGACCTGCCTTGAGCTAAAAAGGCAGAGCTGCCTTCTGAACCAAAACATTGTGAAGTCATTCTTGACCAGCACCATAATCTCAGCTGTGCTGAGGACTATCCCACATCAAAGATTTTTAGCCCAGTGCTTTGGGCACACTCCTCAAGTATGTGAGAGAGGGGCTTAGACAGATAAAACAACGGAACCAAGCTGTGCTGCTCCCAGACAGGCTGCTGTTACTGCACTGCTACTGGAAGTACAAGGCTTTCCCATCTCATACTGTTTGATGGATGTGAGCTCTCTCCTAATAATGACTGTCTTTCTTTTTGCTCAGGTATTTTCCATTCGGAATTGTCTTCCTAATTGCTGGTAAAATCTTAGAAATGGATGACCCTTCAGCCATTGGGAAGAAACTGGGTTTCTATGCCATTACGGTGGTTTGCGGCCTTGTGGTGCATGGGCTGTTTATTCTGCCAATGATGTACTTCTTTATCACCAAGAAGAATCCCATTGTCTTCATCAGAGGGATTCTTCAAGCCTTGCTCATTGCTCTAGCCACGTCCTCCAGGTATTATACAGTTTCTAGACAGATGCAACAAAATACTTGCTAGATCCTTACTCCAGCTTTCTCTTGGGAAAAGCATACTACAGCTGTACTGGAGCAGATATATTTATATCTAAACAACGGCCTGTGTCAAATTCACTGGTATATTTGTAAAAGATGCGTCTCTTAACATTTGGAAGTTCTGTGTGGGAGCCATTTGACAGTAATGTTTTTCACATTGTTTTCTCTCAGTTTTAAAAAAATATTGGACAAAAATGTTTTTTCTTAGAGGGCTAGAAAGGAATAAGGGTATTTTTCCATAAAAACAAACGCTGTGCTTCTACAAATTTAATATATATAAGGGACACACAGTTAGTCCAGACTTCATTTTTGGTATTAGCAGAAAACCACCTAGTTCAGTCATATGGAAACATTTTACCCTTTCTACTCATCTTAGTCTTTGTTTCTTGGTACATTAAGAAAAGACTGTGGTTGCAAGCCGTTGTCCAGCACTGGGAAAATATTTAGCTGTTCTGCTCAAGGAATAATAATTTTTGCAACCCTTTTATGGAGGATGGACAATGAGTTTTAACTATAGCTGAACAAAGGTACAGTGAAAATGGGAAACAGCTTGTAAAGTGGTTATGAAAATGACTCCCAATACGGCTAAATTGGTCCGTGAGAAGTGCTTGAAAGGGCTGGAATTGACTTGCATGGAGTGGAGACAAGAACAACCAATAAAATAACATTTCCGTGTAGCTGACATGAAAGTACAGTTTCATGGCACCTGTGGGTGGAGGCTTGTTACTCTGAAGTAATAAGAGCAGCTATACCTACCACTTTTTATGCAGTAATAAAAGCCACAGTACAAGCAGAAAGTGCCAGGTAAATAGGTCTTTTTAGCACATCTTACATATTTATTATTTCTCCTGTCAGCTGTAAAGGAAAAGGGCTTTCTTTTATCTCATTTTTGCTTTTAGATTTTTAAAGTTACTATTGTTCTTTTACAGAGAGACTGGAAAATACCAAATCTTATCCAGATTTTGAAATGATAACAGCTAGTGACAAACAGCTGCCTTCATCTACCTAATGTAGACTTCAAATTATTATTTAGTACAAAATCAATTATAAATTGGGAACATCTATTTATGAAGAAATATAATGAAAAATTAAAAAGGTTTTGTTAACCCCAAAATATTTATTCTAATTAATGATAATGAGTGAGGAGTACTTCATCTAGTTACACTTAAATACTGATTCCATCTTCCATTTTATAATAATTTCTATAATAAGTTGAGCTCTGACGACTAATATACCCTTTCAGGCAATAGCGTTGTACCAGCTTCTTATCCCTTGTGCCTCTAATCTTACTTTTCTCCTTAACTTTCCAAGTGCCTTGAGGAAGAATGCACATAACCTGTCCTACAATGGAGTGACCCATTTAGAAATAAAGTGCATTTGTGATTGGTGGGATTACAGGAGGAAAAGGCAGGAAAGACATATAGATAAAAACTTCTGGGAAAGCAGTCAAACCAAATATTGATTTAAAAAAATTAAGTTATTTAAATAGTCTAATAAGGGCCATTATGTAATGAGCACATATGGCTTTGCATAGGGCATCATCACTCATAAACAGTGATGTGAGTTTTGCAGAAATCTGGAACTCTTTTGTGAATTATCTAAATAAATAACTAACAATGTAACTTCTCTGAACTCAAATTAGTTGATGTCATTCATCGTTACTATAACCTTCTGCAAAACTTATTTTTGGTACAAAACATTATTTTGCAATGCGGTAATTACTGTTGATGGTAAAAGAGAAATAATCTCTGTTTTACTGAAGGGACAATGAAAAAGACAGAACTTAAGTTGTACTAGACCCGTGCCAGACTTGGGCAAAGAGCCTAAAACTTTTATCCCCAGCCCATTGGCCTGATTAGGCTCGTTATAGTTCTAGCAAGGTCTGACAAGGTAATTTGGGACAGGAAGGCCAAATGCAGATGGCTGTTCCTCTCATGGATACACATGCAGTGGTTAGGGCAGGAGTAAGCAGAGCAGAAGGAATGTATAGGAATTAAAACAGAGGAGAGGAAGGAATGATTATTTCAGTGCAGTTGGAAGGTATTGTCTTTCCACTATGTTTCATTTTACAAGGTGTTTTCATATATAACAGTTTGCTCCAAAATGACCTATAAAGAGCAACATACTGTGAAATACAAAACCAAGAAAAAGTTATGTACTGGGTGGTGTTTGAAACTCTAATTAGACTTAAATAATTAAGGCAAGCTTTTATATTAGAACATGAAAAGTTTGTAGCTTGTGATGTCTTCACAACTCCAGATTCAAGTAAGATGCTAATTTTGCACTCAAGGATGTTAGTGTTGGAAAGACTCATTTGGTTCACATTTGACACACTTGACTATCTGCCCTGCTCCTCTAAGAATTCTGTTTCTGAAGAACTCTATTGCTGACAACTCAGGTTTTTTTAGTCTGTGCTGTTCCATTCATTCTCTCTTTCTAGAAAAATCTAATCAGTTTTTCTCTTTTTAGGAAAAAAAAAAAAAATATATATATAATATTTCTTTCCTTATTTCACCTTTAGCATCTATAGAATATTTTGTCCTTCTCTCTCTTTTCTGTTAATAATCAACAAAAATAACCAACTTTTTCACCAGTATAGATCCCTTTATCAACAGAGGTTTAATCAAGACTTAAAAGATCAGCACCTATTCCACCACTTTCAAAACCAGATTACTTTTCTTGATTTTTCTTATTTTGCATCAGCATTGCATTTTGATTTTTTAACCAATTTACTAGTCCTTGACTGGTCTGGAAACTTTCAGGGCTTGTGCTTTTTTAAATAGTGATCTCCCATTCCTATCAAGGCACTTCATTGTTTCTTCATTGGATCTCAGCTCCTTACTCTGTCTCTAGCTCTGGGAGTATCAAGCCATTTTACAACCATGAAGTGCCCTCTTCACGGTTCATGATATATCAGGTCCAGGTTGCTTGTGGTATATTTCAAGGTTAGAAATGTTCCAATGCCAGTGTCTTCAGTCTTAGTAATAAAACAAAAAGTCAGACATGATATGTTATCACCAAAATACACAACCAGATCTACAATGGGTTGCAGGAGTTTGATTCCCTGTTCTACATGAGTGCCTAAGTTATATTACTACTAGAAGAATGTCCAACATTGGTTGGTTCAAGAATTTTTACATCAGCTATCTTTTGTAGATTACTTGTAGAAGCATAAGGAGAGAACATGCATACTGTCTAGCAAATGTGAGCTAGCTCTTTTGAAAGACCTGCACATCACAGTGATCGTCATTGCAAAGCTTAACTTTTAGGTAACTTTCAACTACATAGGTTGCCTTGGAACTGAGCTTCTCATTGGGAGAGTTTGGCTTCTAGAAAGCAGCCCCAAAAGCCAGTGTGGTAAAGAGAGCTAGGCAGGTATCAGGCATAGCTATAAAGCAGAAATCTTAACCTACAGAGCTGATGAAGAGAGAGGTGTCTCTCTCTGCTCAGTCTCTTTAAGGTAAACCAATCCTTACTTGAGGTTTTCTCTAGCCCATTTCCTTACCCCAAGCTGATGTGAGAGTGCGCGTAGTGGGGAATACAGGGGGAATTCAGCTTTCCCTTAAACTTGTGCTGACTTTGCCTCTCCTGGGCTCCGACTCCAGGAGAGAGCCCCTCTCCTGGGGATATTGAGTACTTTGAGACCGTGCTCTGTCCCCTTCCACTGTGCAAGGAATAATTACACATTTATAGGCCCAGAGAGGGTGTGGTTTGGGAACAGAGTTCTGGCATCAGCTGGTAGCTCAGCCGGTCAAGAACCACCAGCAGGACTTGCTACTAGATTTAATATCTTTATTATCAGAAGCTAATGTACCACCAAAGTTAAGGTGAGTCCTGAGGAAAGGCTCTGAACTTAAGGATTTGGGGTTTGGACATGTTTGATGGATTTAGCTCTATTTGCCCCTTCTTAACAGTGTGTATATCTTGCAAATCCAACACAGGCCCAACATGTTTTTAATGTTTTTCTGCTCAAATAGCAGTGCCTTGTCTAGAGATAGCTGAACTTTTCACCTTTTTTATACTGAAAGGAAGGGATACTGCACATAACTGAGCTGTTGCCAAAAGAACATGCACAAATAATTGCAGCTGGACAGGGGAGCTGCTTCTCCTGACAGTCAACACATCTGTGTTTGGTTAAACAATACTTGCCACAGGGGCATTATATAACACTCATAATGTGGGTATTGGATTCTCAGATCATCTTAGAGAAGAACAAAGAGTTGGTTTTAAGCATGCTGATGTGTTTCTTGGAGATGTTTCTGTGTCAGTTCATGTCTACCTCTAAAGATAGAAAGAAAACCACAGATCAGTGTCCTGATATTCATTCCAGCTAGCCTGCACCTGTGAAAAGCTTTCTTTTTAAGCTAAAAGTCAAACTACAAGAATCAAAAACAATACCATGTCCAAAACCCAAGAATGTAACACAAGGGAACCTGAAAGCCACTAAACAGTTGTCTCATGGCAATGATTTTATTGGATCTGAACATTATTTCAACACAATTCTCTTGAGCAAAAGATTCTGCACCCCATTCTCAGTCCCCTTATATTTCTCCAGAAATCCCAATCATAGCAATATTTTCGTTTGCACAGACATTAATGGGGGACAGGGACAGAGAAGAAAGGATCTCATATTCCTTTTTTCCATCACTTAGGACACGATGAACTCAATCCCTATGACTAGCACTAAATCCCTGCACCAGTCACCTGGCCAGCCAGCCCCTGAAGCCAAACCCTTGGCCCCAGGACGGGCTGCCTTTGGCAAGAGGCATCCATAGGAATGTATGGAGCTCCTCCTTACTGCATCAGTGAGGTGTGTACAGCACTTTTTGTCATTGCCCACCTTGCTCTGCTCTGTGGTGTTCAGTCCACATAGCTGTGGACTTCTGACTTGCTGCTTTCTTCCCCCCCATATCGCCCCCATCTTGCCGCCTCTAACTGTACTGAAAAGGCAGTATTTGGCCTACAGGCAAAATTCCTCTTGATTTTAGGTTTTCTCATTCCGGTGGCAAGAGGGAATTTTATTTTTCTAGGTCATCTTTCCATATCATTAATGAATTAAAGTAGCATCTTCTCAGTGGTACATCCTATCAAAAGAAGCAATTTTCATCTTCTCTGAAGACAAACAATAAAACACGACTTTTTCAAGGGTTTTGCTGCTTATGAAACACTAAGATCTTGGCTATTGCACAGTGTAAATTAAAGGCAGATTTAGCAAGAGGGAGATGAGATCAGTTTGTTGATTTGTTGGAGCAAATATCAAAATGCATTTGAATGATAAGATAAACAGAGCAGGCTGAACAGCTGTTCTTCCACAGTGACTAGCTGTCTTTGTGGCTCACACTAGTAAGAGCTTGGCCTGATCCAGCATTAGCTTATACTCAGCGTCTGCAGCTGCAACATTTTATCCCAAAATTGAGATAAGAATTTAAAAATGTATTTTTAATTGTTAGAGTTAGTGCTGGCAGAAGATATCTCTCCTCTTAGCTGATAGCTTTAGGACTGTTTTTAAAAGACTTAACAGATTAAGATCACTACTTTAGAGTATTTTTTCCTCCTAATAAATGTTACATGTCAGGCTTTCATGTTACTGCTCCACCGTTTAACACTAAAGTAGCTTTCAAGAAAACAAACTTCACTTAATTTAACTGGAAAGACAAAATGAAGTATTTATTTGAAAATGGGTTTTCTTCAGCCATTGAAATTATATATTAATATAACTCAAAAATAACAGTAGGAATTTTTTTTTAATTGCCATCTGTAAGTCACCGACCGCCAAAGCCTTATATAAGACACTTATTTTCTGCTATGTGCCAGATGATACGTTATGAGTAAAAATGAACCGTCGTTGAACAAGACAACCTCTCCTAGGATAGTCTACATAACTTTTGTCACCTGTATTCAGGAGAAGTTCATTCAGATTGAAACTGGTGCTGAAAGGGTAATCAGGGATGTAATGTAGCAATCTTGTAAGATAAAAGTCTGTTTGGGTCAATCCAGGCTGAGAGGGGACAAAACTGATTTCTAACAATACATGTTGTAGCAGTTGGACTGATTTGTGCGAAGAGAGATGCATAAAGCACGTAAAAGCAAATTTAGTGTAAACTGAAAAGAGTACATCTAGATCATAAATTAAATTTCCTATCTGAGCAGTGAGTTATGGAAAGCCTTTCAATGGGAATAGTTAGGACAGTCAGTCTACTAGCTCTAAGATGTGGTGTCATAAATTTGAGTGAGACTGTATGTAGCAGCTGCCTGGGCTAGGAAGGTACAAGAATTTGTGACCTGGAAATTTGCTTCCTTTCAATATATTGTGCAATGTTCTTCATCATTGTTGCACTCACATTCTGCCCATTTTCTTTTTTATTATAGTATTTAATAAACTGCAAAACCAACGCCTAGTTATGTGCCCTAGAAATCTTACTTCTAACAGCACAAAATTAAAATTAAAGAAACATCTGACTCTGAGATAATGCACAAGTTTAAAAGTTGAATTCTGGCAAAACCAGTGTTGTACATTCCATTTACAACAGTGGAAATACATACAGGTTTTGCTGGTTGTGCCATTAGTATTATGGGATTGTTTTGCACAGTCTTTGTCACAACTCAACCGAATCAGAAGATGTCAGTGAAAATTTGCACGTTTCATAGCTTAGCTCTCTGCCCTCAGAACAGGAAGACATTAAGGTTTAAAATTCTGATACATCAAAGTGTGGGCAAGGGGGGAAGGACTTGTAAGATTAGATTTTCTCCTCTTTTTCCCATGAAGAAATTAGACAGAGTTTTGTTACAGAAAAGCCAAATGGCCAAGGAAAGACGGTCTTTAAAAACAAGTAGCTGCAGGGAAGGGAGGCAATGAATAACATTTAGTAGTTGCTTCCTGGCCGTGCCTATGTTAAGAACATCTAGAAGTTAGATATTCTAGTTAAGAACACCTAGAAGTGCTGCTGTGACAGTCTGCTCCTAGTTGCAGCTACACCAGGGGTTTCAGTTCTACATTATCTGTGAGCCCCAGCCTCACCCTTTTATTTTATGAATGAACCTTTTATGGTAAACATGACACAGAGAATTTCAGTCATTCACAAATGAATGTGTGAAAAATGGTAGGCATGCCCAAGAGAGAAATGTCATCTAATGTGTAGTTTGGGGGGTTATGCTTTGCTGTGTTTGTTTTTCAAAGTAAATATTGATTAAATATTAGGACTGCAGGAATGAAAAAGTTTAGTATGCCCCATTTACCAGAGGTAATCAGATTTCTATTGCTTCCATGCCCTTCCAGTTTATTTGCATACTTAGAGAATTACTTTTGTCCAGATTTTCATGGCAGTGACTGCTGGTCTGTAGCAAATTACTCACCAGTCAGACTTTATAAGGTTATAGAAAACAGAGGTATCCTGATGAAAGCACAGACTTGTCTTTTTTCTTTTGTGTCTCTGTTGCAGGAAGCTACTTTTCCTTTCCAAACACTGTTACTTTCCTCAAACAACAGCTTGCACAAATACAAAACGACAACTCCTACTCATGGAAACATTTTGCTAATGGATTCCTGCAAACTTGGGGCCGTGATTTCAGAGTTTTCGGATCTCATTTGTGCTTTTGTAGGTCATTTGTAATGACTGAGAGAGAATTTGTGGATCAAATGTGTTATCTTCAACTAAGAACTGATAATGGTCATTATAAGATTTAGATATCAGAGCCACATTGCTGATGTGAGGCTCAAAACACGCAGCAACTGAGCAATTGGAATTGCCCGAACTAGTGGAAAGGCACCTATATTTCGTCACTTGGGGCATGTAGATCACAAGAGAACAGAACATTGAAGACTTAGTATCATGATACCAATATTTCTCCTGTAACTACTTATGCCTTTGAAGACGTAACTTTGGAATAATTTTGAAGGAGTTTGCTATTTTACATGTATTTAAATAGTCTTGGATACTGAGCAGTATATTAAAATGAGTATCATAACAAGGAAAATATTTTGCCATTTGTATATTTTCTTCAATAGTATTACTTATTTTCCATGCAAACTGATGTGCCATAAAAAATATCCACTCACTGACTTGAATGCAGCTTAATTATTCGTGACATATTAGTGAATATGGCGCCATATGGTAAAGTCCAGAATGTTACAAAACAGCTGATAAAGTATAAAGATAAACATGCTCGGGTGTGTTACTATTTAAAAATGCATGCATGTTATTGAAAATGAGGAAATTTATGACCAGATAGTATTTAATTAATTGTCTCAGTTAATGAAAACAAAAATCAGTTGGTTTTATTTTAGAGTATGAAATTGAGGGTTAAAGTTTGGAAGGGGCCAAGCTAATTTTAAGATGAACACCTGTCAAACAGTGGTACACCATTCCACTCCATTCCATACCATTCCACAGACATACATATTTATATCACATTTACATATGTACAGGTTATTATGTGACCTGCAATTATGTAATTGTTATATGATCACATGAGGGACATGGGCAGATCTGTCCCAGAGAGGAAATGGGATTATATATTCCTGAATACAGGAACTTGGTCTGTAGCTTTTATTTTCAGGCATGCTGCTGCTAAGATCTTCGCCTAACCCCTTGCAGAAGTAAGAAATTGCTTATATATGAGGTAGGATGTTACCGCATTAATGCATTCTGTGGCAAAAGAAGGAGTAGTTTCTCTGTCAGGGCTGTTGCCCACTGGATTGTTTTAGGGTTTAACCCAAGCAGCATTCCAATCTCTAGTAAGCTCTCACTGACATTATAATTCATTGCCTAAACTGGTCATCTGATTACTGTCAATACACAGTGAGAACTGGAACAATCCCTAAGTGCACTTATATAGTATTTCCTCAGAGTGAGTTAAGAGCCTTTCTTGCTTTCTACCTTTCCTTGGTTTGTGGTTACTGTTGCTGTTTCAAAATGGCTTTTTATTTCAGAAGCCCTGGAAGGAAACTTTTTAAGAGACCATGAGTGCACAACAGTTTTCAGAGATTTTTACTAATAAGCTGCAGAGGGTGTTTCCCCTGTCTTGCATTTGAGT